AAGAGAATTAGTTGCTATTCTTTTCTGTGTTTTAACAAATAATTAATGGCTGTCAGTTGGACAGTATCTGTTATATTGAGGAAGTTCAATAGTGTCAATAGTACTAATAGTGTCTCTAGTTTAATTTGATTCCGTATTAGCTAAGAGGTAGAAAATGGAGTCACAGAAGAGTATCTTGAAATAAATGGAATTAATTTCACTGCTTTTTAGCTGCCTAGTATTTCTTTAAATATGCCTGGTTTCTAGGCACAGAAGACTCTTCCAGAGTCCTCTAGAGGGAGTGAAGGGGGGCATTTCTTTAAGTTCCAGTTACAGCACTCGTTACTGTTGGGGAGTATTTATCGTGTTTCTTGCCCAGCTGGTGAGAATTTCTAAACTTTCCTTTGTATTTTCAGTACTTACACCTTTTATTATGGACAAAAGGAGAGTTAGGATATTAACAAGGTATTTGACTGAAAAGGAAATATAAATGCTCTATATAGGACTGTATAAAGTTAACTATTTCATAGAGCAACAGTATAATACTGTAACTATGGTGATTTTACTGTTTGTGTCTGGCTAAAACCTGAAAATGTGAGTGGAGATGTGTGAACTTGTTTACTGTCTTGGATGTGAGTGGAGATGTGTGAACTTGTTTACTGTCCAATTTCTCAGCTCGAAGATGATGAAAAATAGCATTTTATTTTTTTATTGTTTACTGATCTGGATTGTAGATTATCTTCTGAAGATAACTCCAGTGTGTGTCAATGTTTTGATTTGTGCATTTTGGTTGGAGATTTTATGTTTATGGTACTGTATAATGTTACGAGCTAAAATGAGTTAAATAGGTTAAGGTGATGTATTTGACTCTTCTAATCAAGGAGCAAGAAAAATTATTTTAACTGGTTACAAATGGATATTGTAGTTGCTAGTATAGTTGTATAGGTTTTGGAAAGTAATGAGTTTTATAGCTAGTTCTTGAAAGATGACAGAGGAGAAGGGAGATAAATAATTTGCTTTATTAGAGCACTTTCATCCTTAGCTAACTCAGAATTTCAAGTTCTCTTAATTTCAGAGTTGAAGTGGTGTTAATTGAGACTTTAATTAAAAGTGGTAGTTACCAGAGAAACTTGACTCTTCTGCAAAATGGAATATTTTTATTTTACCCTACGTTGTATCTATTTTCCAAGTCCAGCATAATGTTGAAGCCTTGTTGCAGTTCAAACTGTCATGGATTCAGCACTTGGGATCTGGAGACTACTTCCCAAAACATTAGGGTATCTTGGTGTGGCAGAATCTCAGATCTGTAGTAGACATTAATTCATAGGCTGTTTTTTGAATTGGGTCCCAGAACCTTGATTTAGTTAAACCCTGACTATGACCTGTTCATCACTAGAGATAGGGCTGGTGAAGGCCTGCTCACACAATTGCACCACTAGTTTTATATAGCTGTAGTGCTGATGCCTTTCTTGGCTATCTTCCATCAGTTAAGAATAGCTCTTTCCAGATGTAACAAAATCTCCCCAAATCATGATTAAGCTGAGGAAAATCACAATGATGGTACACTAAACATTTCCATGGGGTGTTCTGTAACTGAATTAAAGGGTTTATAACACAGTATGAATTTCCCTATGGTGCATCAAAGATGTATATTTACAATTGCTAAATCTTTAGGTATGCTAATAAACCTTTTAAAAACAAGTCTTTTTATCCCTCTCTCTTGAAGAAAGCGGGACTAGTAAGGAACATCTAATTGTAAGAGGAAGGGGTGAGAAGGGCTGTAACTGAATGTCTTGAGGGACAGTTGCGTGCTGTCTACCTTATCAAGCCTATTTCTAGGGTATGGACTAATCTTAGTGATCCTGTTCTCAATCTCCTTTGCCAGGCATGCAGCTGGGAGACAGAGCTGATTGCAAGTCACAGCCACCTTAAAATGGCTCAGGGTTAGGCTTGGCTAATGATGAAAAAGCTAGCATACCAGTAAGGTGAACCTCATTTGTTTTAGTGGAAGACCTCCACTTGCAGATGCTCTCTGCATACCATTTTCATTTGGTGGCCTTTTAAAGATCTTGAGCAACTTTCCTTGGCAACCTGAGCTGGCAATGCTTGCTTGCCTGGATTGTCAGAATTCCTAGGTAACTGCTATGTAGGTATGTACCTTTTTTATACGGAGGCAGCAAGGTTAATTTGGTGTTTCGGTTTTGGTTTTTACGTATTATCTTTAAGCTCTCCAAAGCATCATCTGCTTCCATCTTGGAAGCTTCCCAACAGCAAATATCAGTTTGGCAGCCTTTTCATACGATCATTCACTTGAAGTTTGGGTAGTGATCCAAATGTAAAGCAGTAGTAGCATAAAATAAAATGGAGGAATGGAGGTGAACCTGCACCTGTAATAACACCGTGTAGTTATTCTAGACACCATCTGGTGTGTATTTATGGTTGGCCTTTTTAAAAGCCCATGTAACTTGTCATGGCAACCTGAAGCAATCGCTATTGCTGGAGCAGCCCTGACGAGTTTTTATGCAGCTGAGACCAGCCCAGGTAGGGCAGGTTGCCTGATTCAGGGCAAGTCCATGGGTGTGCAGCCTGGGGGTTCTGCTGGGAGGACTGCAGCTCAGCACGGAGAGGCCTAGGGGCTCCTTATGAAGAAACTGCTGCATAGTGGGTGTTTCTGCTATCTGGGGCCAGCTGTAGGTGGGTGTGACTGCTGCAGCAGCTCTGATACTCCTCTCCGAGGTGCTTCGTGACTCAGTACCAGGGCTGGGAACCAGGGCGGCAGGGAAGAGTGTGGCATGGTGGGGGGTTGTTGCTGAGCTGTTAGACCACGCAGGGGCTGAAAGCTGAGGAGTTTGTTTATGAGTTGGATACAGTTGGATTTTAAGTATTTTATTTATTTAATACATATGTCATTGGCCCTTTCTCATGTTTGGAAAATGCGATTCACTGTGGTGGTGTATTTAGACCACTACAGTATTTGAAAATCACCAACTACATCTTGAGTACACTGAAAAAAGTAGTGTTACTGAATCCATGGTATGGGATTACAGTGAATTACTACATTGGTGTTTTTTGAAGTTTTGAAGTGACCAATATCAAACTGTACAAGCCATCTGGTGAATTTTAATCTTTTTTCTTTTAAAAAGGGAGGTGATTTAACCTCATTATAGAAATGAACATTAAGCTGCATTTGCATTAAGCAAAGTACAGAAATACATGAAAAAAATGTAGTCATATTATCTCAGTAGAATTTGGGAAAGATATACTAAAGTAATAAAGACTATTAACAGAATGATTAATACAGAAACATTAAGCAGCTAACTTGCTCCATAATCAATGTCTAAAAAAAAAAATTGTTGGTGTAACTGGCTGAGGAGTATGGTCTTGTAATTATATGTTACTTGCATATATTTATGGAAATTAAACGTCCGCTTTTACAAATATGTATTAAAGTCTACATTCTGGATTTTTCTAATGTATGTAACATGTAAAGTCACATCATGCAAAACAAAATTCAATTTTTGTTGCTATTCACGTGCATCACGAGCATGTGATGTTGCAAGTATTGGTTTGACAAGCTTAAGTTACCCCCATGCTAAATCGTTCCATCTGGGTCTAAGCATGCAAGATACTTTTGGCATAGGACTAATTGTCTCACTTGTGGAAGGTTGTGTGTGAGGACAAGACTTTTTGTGTTGGGTTTTTGGTTGGTTTGGTTGGGGCGTTGTTGTTTTTTATTACTGGTTTTAGCCAAAATAGTGTAGGAAAAGGTTCAGATACTGATGGTTCAGGTTGCAATAACTCGTGTGTGCAACTCAGCCTTCAGCCTTTGTAGGGTACTAAACAGATTAGTCATGGTGTACCTCTTTGCTTTGTGGTGGACCATTTTTCTAACCTGCAGGGTTAGAGGCAGGGAGGAATGCGTTTGAAATAGTTATTTTGACAGTACTTGTTTAGTCAGAATGCTCAGAAGATAGAATTTGCTTTGTCATCTCCCATTCTGCACTGTGATCTATCATTTAGTCATCTTTTCTGTGTGTGGCTCTCAGAAGATGTGGAAAAAAAAAACGTCAGCACATTAACTCCCACCTATCAGTCCACTCAGTGGCCTATTCTTTATTGTAGTTGCCTGTAAAATACAGTCTTTGCCATTTGCAAAGCACTTTGCCTGTGTATTTAGATCATTATACTTCTCAGTAGGCAGAAGAATAAAAAGGCAGAGAGTGTGTTATATTTGGGATAAACAGGTTTTTTCCCTGAAACGCGTGTGAAAATGGTTTTCCTTAGTTTGGTGTGACTTAGGTGAACCTTTAAAACTTAGGAAGAGGAAATCATATCAAGAAGAATGAAGGAGATTTTTACTTGCTTAGAAATAAGGGTTGAGATGTTGAGAATTATCTCATTTTCCATCTGTTCTTTTGTGTTCAGGTGTTTCATGGCAAGGGAGAAAAGTGTTACCTTGAGAAGAATTTGTTAGGGAGGCCAGAAGCGGATGGTGGTTTGAGAAATAGTGCTTTTGATATTCTAGATGTTAATATCTGTATTGCAGAGACTGAGGTGCCGGAAAAGTAATTTATATGCATAAATAGAAGTACTTCCCTAGTACCAGTTACAAGTAGCCTCAAAAAGATTAAGAAAGCAGCATTGCTCCAGTGAACTGAAAACCTCTTTTTCTGTATTTTGGACTTAATGTTGAGGAGGAGATGTCTTTTTAATTTCTGAATGGATCTGTAAGGACTTCTCCAACCATCAAAAAGTATAAGGGCTACTTGTTTGTAGTGGAATGTAGTTTGAAGGTAAGACTAGTGAAGGGACATGCTGCATTACTGTAATTAGAAAGGCAAAGTGAGCTTTATGCTGTGTGAAAAAGTATTATGTGTATGTTCTGAAATACTTCTGCATCTGAACTATGCTGTGGACAACTTGCCCTCTCCCCTCTCCTTTTCCTTTCCACATTCTTAGAATACAGATGGTTTATTTCTTTTAAAATATACATGGTGAACAGTCTTTCTTTTTTCCTTTAGGGACCAGTTACTCTCCACAAGAAAATTCACATAACCACAGTGCTCTTCATAGTTCAAATTCACATTCTTCTAATCCCAGCAATAATCCAAGCAAAACTTCTGATGCAGTGAGTATTTGCTATTGATATTCATCCGTGTGTCAGCTTGTCCATACATTCTGTATTGCATCTATTTGTCTAAAACAGGCGACACGTAGAATTACCTGCTTCACTGAGTTTTCCAGCACCAGTCTTTATAAAGTCTGTAAATCCAAGCCACAGTTGTTATATGTTGTAAAATTATTCTAATTGATAATCATTAAAGCTTTGAGGTACTTGTCTTCAATTTTAAAATACCAGATTATTTAAATGAAGTAAATATAGAGGGAAATGTTTCCCATGAACTTCTTCGTAGATGTAAAGAAGAGAGTATGATTTTACTTATTTAAGATGTGTTACATATTGTGAATTTCAGACACTTTATGTGCAAGTTTTAGTAGTTAGGATGGTGTTTGTTAAAAATGGCACTGAAAGTAAAATAGGTAAATTTCTGAAGTATAGAAAAATTCTGAAAAGCTAATAATTTTTTAGGAAGTTTTAAGATGCAGAAAACTAATGTTATCAATATTGATATTCTTGTATCCTGCTAAACATAGTAATAGATTGTTTCAGGGTTGATGGTATCAAAATAGAGTCAACAATTGCAGGATGCAATAGGAGCGTAGTGGTCAAATCTTTAAACTACCAAAATGAAACAAACATTTAGAGTCAATGGAGAGCAGTGATTAGGGTGCATATGAGGATGCCAAATAATTTTTTAAATGGTAGAAGCTTTTAAATTGGTATATTAAAATTCTCAAGTAGTCTTTTGTCCAACATTGTATTTTAAAGGCTTACGATTCTGCGGATGATTGGTCTGAACACATCAGCTCTTCAGGCAAAAAATACTACTACAACTGCCGAACAGAAGTTTCACAATGGGAAAAACCAAAAGAGTGGCTGGAAAGGTATATGTGTGTGTATAAAGAACAAATATTCTTAAGCTCATTTAAGAGCAATTGAGCTTATCTAATAGATTAAATGCTATAAAAGATTGTGGTCCAAGTCTCCTGTGTTCCTACCCTTACCATGACCTCTGGCACCCATTTTATCCCTTGATAAGGGAAGTATAGTTGATTAGTTTTTTTGGCCTTTTTTTGTTGTGGTGGAATTTTTGGGGGGTTGGTTTGTTGTTTGGTTGGTTTGGTTTGGTTTTTTAATGTTATAGAGTGGAACTAGTAGCAATGGCTGGAGTTTGCCTATCCTGTCTGTAGCAGCAAGCTTTTAATATAGTTTAATTCATCTTGTGTAACTTCACCCATAGAAAGTTATATATTACTAGATAATGTAAGTTCTTGCTTAACTTGTGTTTTCTCTTCTTCAGAGAGCAGAGACAAAAAGAAGCAAGCAAGATGTCAGTTAACAGTTTTCCCAAAGATAGGGATTACAGAAGAGAGGTGATGCAGGCGACAGCTGCCAGTGGGTTTGCCAGTGGAAGTATGTGGTTTTTTTCAGTAATATATTCTTGCCTGGTTTGCATTGCTGTTTTCCAAACTTAAAATATTAAAAATTCCTTTCCTTAGCTGTTTTTGTTGCCTTTATATAAAAAAGGGCCGAAGTGAATAGCACAGACAGCTCTTCCAAATATTTTTTCTTCTTGTAACTTTAAGCCTTTACTAGTGGAACACCTGCTTAATGCTTTTCTTTGTGGTACTCCTTTTTTGCAGCTTTTACTGCCTAATTTGATTATAGGTAGTTATTAAAACAACTTGCACAGTTTATGGTATAGTTGGACTGTTATGATCATTGAGACCTGTCAATGTCACATTCTGAGCTTTATTAATAGAGTTGCAGAAGTCTCTTCTAAAACTCTGATTTCACATCTGAAAACGATAACCTAGTTTAATGGATTATATCATCAGGGTTTTCAGGGGCTTGTGTGCGTTTTTGAAGGATACCTTGACCAGATTCTTAGCAAAGCCTGTCCTGGTGTATAAATTTCTGTTGGTTTTGGGTTTTTTTTTCCTGATACCTAGCTTTAATCTTTGTCAAGTTTTTCTGAGAAATGGTTGTACTATGAGATTCCTTCTGTATGCTGATGTAATTTGGGTGAATTTGTAGCATAGTTATCAGGGTGATTTAAAGGGAGGAGACAAAGTATTAGTCTTCCCGACCTTCGCACTCTGCCCTTGCTTGAGACTTGACAAAGCAGAGATGTATTAAGGGCTGGTTTTCTGTGTATGGTGAAAACATGCTGCATATGCTGAAACATACTGTATCCTACAAAAAAGTTAGCAGGCATGCATATTGCAGTAACGATGTGTTTTGTGACAGGTGAAAATCTAAGAATAAAAATAATGTCTCTATATTTACTTGGTATGGCCCCTTTGTAGTGTATTTTAAAAGTCTGTAATTGTGTGACAAATGCAGATTAGTCACTCATTTATTAAATAGTCTTCTTTAATTGATTCAACTAAAGGAAATTCTTTGTAGTGGCACTCAAGAGTCTTGAAGTGGAATTCTTTGAAGGCTGAGTTCAAAACTTATATTATACTGGATGTTCAGCATTTTCAGTGAGCAAAACAAAAATTGCACAGTCTGTCTCTTCATGGTAAATGTAAGATGGAAACAATAGATTTTGGTTTAGATGTTTTAGCAGACTTCCAAAGTTAACTTGATTATAGCACTTGTTGTAGAGCAGCCTTTCACCAAAACGCAGTGCTTAACCAGAACTCTAAATCAAGCAAAGATCAGAGATGTATTTTGTTAGTGAATGAAATTAAATTTTGCCTTTTTGATGCTAAGTATTGAGGCTTTTTTTTTTAATTGTAAGAAGTTCAGTCAGCTCTGGTTGTTGATGTACGGCTGTATTAAAGTCACTGCAATCTTGGACAGGTTTCTAATTTCATCTTTTTTTTTCTTATTGCACCGTTACTTGGGGAATCCTTTGCTGGGAGGTTTGGTTGGTGTAACTTTTCCCTTTTCTCTGGTATTTCTTCCGTTTTTTTTTTTTAATTGTAAGAAGTTCAGTCAGCTCTGGTTGTTGATGTACGGCTGTATTAAAGTCACTGCAATCTTGGACAGGTTTCTAATTTCATCTTTTTTTTTCTTATTGCACCGTTACTTGGGGAATCCTGAAAAAAAGTGGAAGACAAGCATTCCAGTGACGCCAGTAGTATGCTCCCACAGAATATTTTATCTCAAACGAGCAGGCACAATGACAGAGACTACAGACTGCCAAGAGCAGAGACTCACAGTAGTTCTACTCCAGTACAGCATCCCATCAAACCAGTAGTTCATCCAACTGCTACCCCAAGCACTGTTCCTCCTAGTCCATTTTCTCTACAATCTGATCACCAGCCAAAGAAATCCTTTGATGCTAATGGAGCATCTACTTTATCAAAACTGCCTACATCCACATCTTCCATCCCTGCACAGAAAACAGAGAGAAAAGGTATGTCTACTTAAATTCCTTCTAGTACTTAATAGGATGCATTGCAGTTGTGTTGTTTGTTCAAAATATGCTAGTTCTAGAATGTAAAGATATTTTTCCTGTTTTGTGTGCTTAGGACACAATTGCTGTTTTGATGTGTTTATTCCCCCTTAAACCATGTTTGCTATATGTTACACAGCTTCAAATCGGTGCTGCAGTATTTGCTATTTAGTGGCTTACTCTGCAAATTACAATTTCAAATAATAATATGAAAAATGTATTTTAGTAGGACGTATTTTAGTTTTTTTCCTTCCTCATGTTATTTTGTATCATTGTTATTATTTGAGTTCTTAACATGGAAACACAATTTGAAAGTCATTTTGGACCATTGTATTTTACGAACTGCAATTACTGTTTGGAATGCCAGTGTCAAAATGGACACTAAACAAAGTGCAGTTCTTACAGAAAGCCAATAGTTTTTTGCATGGCTGTAACAGCTATTCTGTTTCTATCTGTGTCTTGTGATATAATGGATTTTCTGTTGGAAGTTTGTATTTCTGTATGATGTATCAGAAACATTTAGAGTCATCAAGTGAAGATCAGGACTTTACTATGCATTCTTTGTGACCTTTCAGAAGTCTGTATTTAATTGGATTTATGTCATTATTAGGAAAGAAGAGCTCAAGAAGATTGTGAGAATGAAGATGTGTGTTAGTGATAATGTGATAATTTGGTATAGTTCCTAGTAACATTGTATAGGAAAGTTATATTTTGGAGGCTTTGAAAGGGGAAAGAACAATTTTTTAATAAATGTGTCTTGTTTTAATTCAAAATTGTTCTTCATTAATATAGCACAGTTCTTTGTTTGAAAGATGGCTTGTTATCCTTTTGATATTTGCAAGTCTGTCTAGTTACAGAAGAATAGTGCAGCACTAAAAAGAAGACCAAAAAGACTTGGGTCTGATGTTGGTCTTACACGCTGCATTTGCTTTCTTGCCTTCCAGTTTTCTTTATTTAAAAATTCCAGCTTTTACACAGACATAAGTGTATTTGCCATCCAGAATACCCAAAGAGTAGCATACATTGTCAAATACTGCAATGTAAGAAAATTGTGCATGTACTGAAATTTTAGATCTTTTCCTTCAGACTTTGTGCAATTTTTACATGATCTGGTATTATGAATGTTGACTATAGCCTACAGAGGAACAGGAGATTTTCAGCCAGCTTTTTTCTATTCTACACAGTAAAGCAAGAAGTAAGATGTCCTAGTTCATGCATCATTCTTGTTCTGAACACCAGGGTTACCTGCTTCAGTTCAGTCTCTGTTTTGATTACAGTTTGGTGCACTTTTAAACAGCAGTGCTAAACATCCATGTCACGTGTTTTCTCCTTTAGCATATCTTCTGTATTTTCATTACTATATTTTAAATATACGTAAAGGAAACCCTTGTTCCTAACTCACTTCGGCATGTACTTGATTTCTGTTTGGCATGTGACCAGACTTCAAACTGGATGTATTCTTTCCCTGCTTTACTGTATACCTTTATTAATTGCTTTCACTGACAATGAGCAACTGAACCCTAGTACAGTTGAAAGAATATCCCATTGTGACAACTGCTACGAATGTTGACAGGGAGTTCTAGTGTTTCTCATATCTAACAATCATTTAAGAACAGACAGTTGGGTATGCATATTGAAAATTATGGCAGAGGGTGGTTTGACACTGTAATCCTTACTTTAGAATCCATGTTAGTATGGATGGTTCCATATTAAATAATCGCTTAATTTACATATTCTTTTGTAGTTTTTTTAACGTTTAGGTCATTTAAATGGATAGATTATCTGTAATACTTTTGCCTCGTTGATGTAAGTGCACTTCATTGTGAGCAAATAAAATACTTCCTGAGCCTTAGGGTGGATTACAGGAAGTTAGTAAGTATTTGAAGAATTAGAATAGATGTTAGGCTTAAAATACTTATTCCGGAAAATGTGAGTTTTCATATGTTGCTTGAATACCTCTCTTCTTACAGAAACAGAATAATTTGGTGCAGCTTATAAGAGATCATTCTAAGATTATATTCAGTAGTCTTTCCTTTTCCTGTTCTTGTTAATGTTGAACTTTTTTTTACTAAGAAATTTGACCAGTATAATTTCTGTAGCATTTTACATATATAAATTAAAGGAGTGAGTAAACAGTGCTGTACATTAGGATGTTTTTGGGTAGTTTGCTTCTGTTACTCATTTTCACAGAGATGACTGTGAACCTGTAGTATCACAGGTATGCAGTGTTTAAAAGTATTTGTTATACAAATTGGAAAAAAAATTAATTGTCCTGAGACACTCAGTTCAAATGATTTTCTGCAAGTATCCTTGTAGAATTGGAAAATAGTTTGAGGAGTTTATTTTTACACTAGTAGAGCAAACAGCCTTTGATCTTTTCCTGTTCATTAGTTGTGCCATCCCTCTCTTGTCTTTCTAAAAACAAGTAAAGGTGTGGTTTTTGCTTATGAAAAATAGCTTGGTCCAAATGACTGAATAGTATGTGCACTAGTCCTTGCCTAAATGAGTTCTTGCTTCTTGTCAATGTGTTGCTGGCAGCCTTATGGCAGCATATATGTACCACTGTTTTGATAGTTCTGTTCTTAGTGTGTATTTTTTTAATGCAGTAATAGTTGTGAAAAACAAAAGAAGAAAAAACCACAAAAACCAACAACAACAGTTTTTTCAGCTCAGTCTCTTTTGCTGCAGGGGTATGTTGTAGTCCCACAAGGAGATTGAATAAAATCCCTGGCTGAACTATAGCTCAGCTGTTAGCAGTAGTCCTCTGCCCTCAATGGCTGGCAGTAGTGGAGAGTTCCTGGGGAACTATTTGACCTCTACCCTTTGGTTTGAATGTTCCAGTCAGAATCTGCTGCTTCTGTTTGTGCTCACTGTGAGTGCTTTATGCAGGTAAAGTGTGGGGTTGCTTTTCCTACTTTTTGGCTGCTTTATCTGTAGGGCACATCACATTTTCCTATTTCTAATTCAGTTACTGAACGAAACGTTGTATTGTCTGTATCTTAACAGTGTGTCTGTCTGTAGGATACTTCTTCTCACATCTTTCCTCCAAGTCCCATCAGGCAGCAGTTTTGTTTCTAGTTCAGCAATACTCTAAAATGTTTCTGACAAAACTCAGCAAGCTGGCCAGTGCAATGCTGGATGGGTTGTGACCTTGATGTTGACGAACTGAAGTGGTTGGCCAGTGACAGCTGAGCTTCCTCCTCATCCTTTTCTCACCCTGTGATTTTCTTACTTGTAACACATGCTAGTTTTTAGCAGTCAGTTATTAACATTGCTCGTGGTATCATTGCATCTTCTTTGGCCGAGTTTTGCAATTTAAATCTGTTGCTCAATTCATACAGTGGTTAGAAAAAATTACAATAGCAGGACTGTTAGAGGTTTCTTCCAGTAATTTTATACTTGTTTGTTGAGCATTTCTGTTACATTTATTTTGGCAGCAGAGTTAAAAGGTAAAAAATTCAGTTTTAAGACTGGAGTAATCAAAATGAGAAAAATAAACAATTTGTTGTATTTTAGATTATTTGAGTGTATTTGAGAACTCAAGTTACTGTTGTTGCTGTAGTTTCATTTGGCCAAATGTGTTTACAAAATACACTATTTTTAAATATTTATATGTACTTATGTGGCCTAAGGTCCTTAGTAGATCAGAACCAAACTATGTAAAAAAAGTAGATGTGATTGTCACTGCTCAGAGAGCTTTGATTGTGGACTATAGGCTTAATGTACTTCAGGACAGATGAATGTGTTAGGAGGTTTATGGGGCAATAAGGCATTGAATTTCTGAAAAGTTTGTAATGCAGTTTTCCTCCCACAGAGCATACATGCCTGACTGTTGGTAAGAGAGCAGAGGTACAACTCAACTCACAGTAGAGTGATTGGGTAACGTTCTAGCATTGAATAACTTTGGATGCATGGATTTTGTTTTAAATGGCATTAAAAGATAATATCAGTATTAAAAGATACTGGAATACTCAAAGGATCACATTGATTGGGTAATTCCCAAATTATCAACAGTAGTGGGTAATTTCCATGCCATTAGGAAAAAAAAATCTTTCTTGAATAAATCCACTGCCCATATATGTGGCAGAGGAAAAGCAAGATATATGTATATATGTATAGTGCAGTATTTTAAACTCCTTGTTTTATAGGGAGTACTAGTATTTTAGTTGTCAGGAGAACTGTGAAGGAAGTTATGGCATAAAAAATGCCATTCCTTTTTTTGTTTCTTTTTTTCACCACTCACTTCTGTCACACCAATGTGCCTGAATAACTCTGCACACCAGGGGCAAGACTTTGACATAGTCCCCCATGTCTTAAATTGGAGAGATACTGGTTTGGTGGGTGGACTGTTCAGTGGATAAGGAACTGGCTGGCTGGTCGCATCCAGAGAGTAGTGGTCAGTGGCTCTAAGTCCAGATGGAAGATGGTGACAGGTGGTGTCCCTCAGGGGTCCATACTGGGACCAGTGTTGTTTAATATCTTCATTAATTATATTGACAGTAGCATTGAGAGCACCATCAGCAATTTTGCCAACGACACCAAGCCGGTTGGTGCAGTCGATACATTAGAGGAACAGGATACCATCCACAGGGACCTAGACAAGCTGGAGAAGTGGGCCCAGGTGAACCTCATGAGGTTCAACAAGCCCAAATGCAGGGTCCTGCACCTGGGCCGAGGCAACCAGAGATATGAATACAGACTGGGGGAGGACACACTTGAGGAACAGCAATGTAGGAAAAGGCCTGGGAATACTACTAGTGGACCAGAAGCTGGACATGAGCCACCAATGTGCAATTGCAGCCCAGAAGACCAACCAGGTCCTAGTGTGTATCAGGAGAACTGTGGCCAGCAGATCAAGAGAGGTGATTCTGACCTGCTGAGACCTCACCTAGAATACTGTGTCCAGCTCTGGAGCCCCCAGCACAAGAAAGATGTGGACCTGTTGGAATGTGTCCAGAGAA